TGATCTTTGGGAAGCCGTGGAAGAGGATTATGAAATTAAACCGCTGCCAAATAATCCCACCGTGACCCAGATCAAGAGTCACAAGGAAAAGAAAACCATTAAGTCGAAGGCAAAAACAACTTAGTTTGCTGATGTTTCGACAACTGTTTTCACGAAAATTATGACTCTCACATCACCAAAAGATATTTGGATTATCTTAAGAAAGAATATGCTGAAGATGAAAGAATACGAGGAATGAAGGTATTAAATTTAATGAGGAAATTCGAATTGCAGAGAATGAAAGAGTCAGAAACAGTCAAGGAATACTCTGACAGATTGCTTGGTATTGTCAACAAGGTAAGATTACTAGACACTGAATTCAAATATACAAGAATTGTTGAAAAAGTTCTTGTTACAGTTCCCGAAAGATATGAAGCATGTATAACTACCTTGGAAAACACACAAGATCTGTCCAAAATGACCTTGGCAGAATTGTTAAATTCTTTGCAGGCTCAGGAACAAATGAGACTTATGAGGCAAAATGGCATGGTTGAAGGAGCATTAGTAGTCAGCCACAAAACTCATAGCAAGGGTAAAGTTTTGAAAAATTACCCACCTTGTCAGCATTGTGGAAAAAATGGACATCCTCCATATAAATGTTGGAAAAGACCAGATGCACAGTGCAAGAACTGCAAACAACTTGGTCATGAAGCTGTGATTTGCAAAAGCAAATTTAAAAAAGATGAAACAATTGCCCAAGTCACTACTGAAGAAGAAGAAGAAGACCACTTATGTGTGGCAACTTATTTTTCAACCAAAAAAACTGATTTTTGGATGATTGATAGTGGTTGTACAAACCACATGACATATGAAAGAAATCTTTTTAAAGAGTTCATTCCTATGGAAAATAAGAAAGTCAGAATTGGGAATGGTGATTGTATTCCTGCAAAAGGAAAAGGGTCTTTTTCAATTAAAACAAATCCAGGTACAAAAATAATTTCAGATGTTCTTTATGTGCCTGATATTGATAAAAGTTTGTTTAGTGTTGTTCAGTTAATATAAAGAGGATTTAAATTATTATTTGGAGACAAATATTGTTGAATCTTTGATTCTACTAAGCAAGAGATTTTACAAGTTGAAATGTGAGGTAAGAGCTTCTCATTTAATCCAACAAAAGATGCCCACAAGCCTTGCAAGACAAAGGATGAATTAGCAGATTTGTTCACAAGGTCAATTTCAAATGAGACTACAATCTACAATTCCTGATCCAAGAAGAAGTGTTGGCTTTTAGATTTATTTTTAACTACATTATTGAACATTAGTCAAATATTTCCTAATTTTACTTTTTCTCTTGGATTTTGTCTCTCAGGTTCAGACTTTAGTGTATGCCACGTACAC